CGGACGTGGGTGGTGTCCCATCACGCTGTGGTTCCTGTACATGTTCGGCTAGGCCATTTGAAGTACGGTTTGGCGCCCGAGTATTTGTTCTTAGTCCCCGTTTTATCTGACTACGACGGCGTCTTACGGTGTATACTCTGCTAGGACGTCAGCTGGTGAAATTGGATGGTCCTGGGAGTGTCCTACTACCATGAGATATGCTAATTAGATCTCAAGTGGAGGATAGTGTCGCGTCGGTCGGTTTTAACATCGGTGCTGGGAGGTCAGACAAGTTAGCCGTTATGTCTGGCGCTCGCGGAGCGGGCCATGATAAACTGATTTCTTCTCGAAGGGACGGGCAGTTTGTGTTATCGCGAGGCCGATTACCGATAAAAGGACCTTGAGAACTGACGTCTATTTGACATCCATTCGTGCAGTTCTAGTGGGATTTAGTGTACCAATACGTGTGTGGAAATCGAAGGATGTGGGAATCTTACCGCTGTTGTCTGAGAATGGCACTTTGGGTGGGTTGCAGCGCCTTCGCACAGGACAGGATGGCTGCTGCCCACCATCCTAATAAAAAGCATACCCCATGGTTAGTACATGCATGCTCTATGTCAGCTCTATGTCCGTTATAAGCATGTCGCCCCGGTTCGGCGCGGCGAACACTTGGCATCCGTCATACCGTCGTCGTACCGTCCAACCATTAGTGCTAACTTCTTAGAGTGTGCGAGATACGTCACGATCTTTGGAGTCGTTATACTTCAGAGTGCTATGCCCCTTGTGTTGGTTATCTGACTGGAGGCAGTCTGCATGCCTACGTAGTTCATTTTAATCTGCTCATTTTGACATTGCTAACCGTGGATGAGTGCAATCGGGATCCGCAGCCCTTTATTCGTGCTGTCATTCCCAAATCAGGTTCAACTGCGCTTGTGTGCAACGGCCTTGAAAGTAGGTCTCTTGTGGTACATGGGTTCGATGATTTACCTGGGACACGCCAGTTTAAAATTCCTGACACCGTGGCAGGGAAAGTCAGGTGATAAACCTTCATTTTGTGGTGTCATGATGCATTGTGACCTCCTGTAAATACTTTGCGTGTTTGATGTCCAGACGTCTAAACATATTGCCAGTGCAATTCCACGCGGTATATTTGTCAGCCAACGCGCTGATCTAGTCTTTGAAGGGCATTGCTGTGCTTGTCACTTACGAACGAGCCGCTGAAATAATAGACGCGGTTTAAGAGGAATTTCTCACGTCTAGAGACATCGATGAGACTGGTGCAGAGGGCGGTTCTCATTTCCAGGGTTACTCACTTCAGCATTTTTCGCGACCGTTCATTGAATTTAGAACAAAGGGTACTTGTTTTACGTGCTGTACCTGGCTTCTGTGGAAGTGAACCACAACTTCCCAGAGAGTTTTGGGGGTAGGGCCGCTCTGATTACTGTCGTAGTGGTGTTGTGATATATGAAAACGGTTAGTTCTTGATGTCCTGCAACATTTTTCATTTCATCCGTATCTCTTAAGTAAGTGATGTGCTTGTGTCGTATGATTGCGGGGCAAAGTAGTTGCTGTCATGGACTGAGTCGGCGTCCGCCTTTTTCACTGCCACACTGCGTTAATTTTCTTCTATTAGAGAGGCTGACGGTCGGTGCTATTATTTCTGTCCGCCTAGGGGTTATCCGTTATGGGTTGGGTAGTCGGCAAGGACTCGAACTTTCACTCGCTGATCGGAATAGGCTCTACACGTAGTGCGTCGGCATTGAGGACATTATCTCAAGTATACATGGCTCTAGTCGGGAACGCTGTCGGTGTAGTGTGTGCGTGCGTGTCGTAACCCATCGTTGGATCAGGAGTTCCCGCCGGAATCCAAACTGGGGGTAGCTGGGAGACGGAGAAAAGTCGAGACCTCGACCGGCTTGAGCCAGAGGTCCGCGGGAGTGAGTTGGGTGCCT